CATGATGGAAACCTGTTAAGCCCTCCCTATGTGTCCCCAGCACAAGTGACAGGGTTTGTCCACTGGCTTCACCTCTTTCCTTTTATGTGAATTTAACCTACCCTCATTGTCTCAGCTGCGTACCGTGTTCCTAGCACCACAATGAAAGAAACCCAGAGCACGGTGAGGGGCTTCAAGTCCTGTTTTAGAGAAATCCTGCTCTCTGTGTTAGATGAATAAGTACGAAAGGAGCTAGGAGACCCAAGGCTGGTTTCCCAGCTCAGTCAAAAGATATGCTTTGCCGTGCTGTGCGACTACCTCTCTGTGCCTCGATTTCTTCCTCCGTAAATGAGGGTTTGAGTCTGATGGTTTTCTACCCCCATCACATAAAATGGATGCAATAACAGAGTTTCTATTGGAATTCATGAAACTTTTGGCTTTTCTTGAGTTTGGAGGTCACAATTGTGTCGGGGGGAGGGTGGGGTTTGAGTGTTCAGATATCACGATTCTGCCCTGTGTTGGTATGTTATACTGATTTCTTTCATGTGATTGTTTTTACCTTTATATGTTTTAAGGCTAATGTTTGTTCCAGCTGAGGGAGGGATCAGACTTCTGTGCATCATCCTTATGAGGGAGAGGCATTTACAGTACTTCCCATGGGTGTTGTGAACCTTCAATCAATCGTCTCTGTAAAAAGCTGATGCTCTTGGAAGGCAAATGCCATCAAAAGCATTACTAAGGATAATTTTTTAAATTACAAATGGGAAGATTTCATAGCATGTGTGAAAAGCCCCCATGATGCAGATTCACCCCCAGGTCTCCGCAGCTTGTCCCAAGAAGCATCATTACAGCAGACCAGAAACATCCTCTCATCTTTGATACAGGAGAGTTAAACTTGGTTTCCTAGAGGCTACATTTAAAGTGGTGGCCAGGTCTATCATCGTTTCTATTATGACTGTTCTGTCTCGACAGGCAGATCTGTTCTCCAGCAGAGCTGGGAGGGAGGAGCAAGTAAAGCTGCATGCCTCCAGGGTGAGAGAAAATTGAGAAAACAGAAACAGGTGCAAATCTCCCCATTCCCTGGGGTGCCTGATGAACTCCAACCAGGCAAGTTTTCAGACCTTCAGAACAAATGTGGGGCAATTGATGGATCTACAGAGAAATCCTGGCTCCAAAGAGAAAAGCCCAGTTTGTCCTGACTCAGATTCATGTTGAGATTATGTGAATTCAGTTCACCCCTGCATTAAGGTGGAATGGACTAAATCAACCAGAAATTGGACCCATGTTGCCTTTGTGAGGCCCTTTCAGACAGACTTGGTGACACCTGGGATATGCAGAAGGTGACCTCTATGTATCACTTCACCCAGTACCTACAAAACACTCTCATGCCTCCTCTTCTCTCTACATGAGAGATTTGACAGGATGCAGCTGCTCTAAACCCCACACACTGTTGCTCCCAGCAGTTGCAGTGAAAGGTCATTAAAGCATTACTGAGTTTTCAAGATGAACAGTTCCCAGAAGAAAAGCAGGGAGACACCACACTCTGCTGCCCAGAGTCAGAATTGCAGCACGCTGCGCGCAGCACCAGCTCCACAGCAGAGGAAGTCTGGGGCGGCGCAGTTCCCACTGCATTCCCTCCAGTCCCAGGCATTTCCATCACATGTCAGCTGCATCCAGCTCAGCCTGCCATGTGTGAGGGTGTCTGTGTCTTCCTCACCTTTCAGGATGTTAGACCCTTTGCAAGTAGTCAGAACTGCACAGAGCAGGAAGGGGGGATTTTCACAGGAGGAAAGAGAGGTGGCTCTCAGCAAAGGGCTCAGGGTTGTTTCAGTTAGTCAGTCTGCAGGTGCCCTGTTTTTCCATCAAACAAGCCGTCTTCTTCCCAGGCTGCCTCATGTGTGAAATATCAAGGACCTCCTGCCTTCCCCATCCTTCTAGGGATCACATTTAGGTGCCAGCCGGCACTGAGCTGAGACACCGCCTGTCTCTTTATTTCATGTAGCTGGGAAGCAGATTGTAGGGAGGGGGGGGAGGTGTTGGTTTAATTACTGTCCGGCCTAATTGCAGACTGAAGGCTGCATTAGGGGATGAAGCCTGGTTCCAATGAAAACAAGATATACCCTTAACTGGTTAGACCTCGATAAAGCTCCTCCTTTACTGGCAGAAAGGGCTGGTGTATGCTGCTCCTAATGTTGTGACATTGACCCATGGACACAAAACTGCCTGAAAGGGGGAAGAAAAAGTTTTTCCCTGGCTTCCCCTTCTACTTGGATCACTGTGCCACACTCCCAGACCAGACTACACAGTAATACTCAGCCTCATCCTCTGCCTGGATGTTGGTGATGGTTAAGTAATCTGCTTTATTAGAGGCATCTCTGGAAGCGGAGGATCGATCGGGGACCCCAGAACCTGGTTGCTGGTCAGTCAGACTTGTACTACAGAAGGTATCTTGGGCTCTCTCCATTCTTTTGCTGGTACCAGCCAACATTGTATCCACTGCTGATGGCACAGGTGAGTCTACCTGCATTTCCAATGGATGCTGACTCCGAAGATGGCTGGGTCAGTGTGAACTGGGAGAGGGATCCTGGAAACCAAAAGAAATATCTATACCATTATCATAACCTGGAGCTGAAACGGGCATTTCTGCAGAGCCAGCAAGCGTGGGGAATCAGGAACAAGCAGATATTCTCAGAAGTCATTTTAACTTAACTAAACTACAGAAGAGAAAACCTCCCACTCACCTGAGCTGGATGTGAGCAGCACAGAGAGGAGCAGGGTCCAGGACATGGTGGGAATCCTGATCAGCTCAGCTTTCAGGGGCAATAGGGTCTCCGGCTGGGACCCTCTGAGTCTCTCTTAAGCCCCCAGAGCTGAAAACAGCCCCTTCATGCAAATCTGCCCCCTGGTCACTGGCTGCTGCTGGCACCTCACTCCCTCCCAGGAGAGGGGCCAGGAAACAGAGGACAGTCTGGTCCCAACACCTCTCTCTGACACTGGTTTAAGGCACCTGAATTTATGGCTTGGGGAGAAATAACTGAAATGAGCTCCTCTCTGTGTGAATGCTCGCAGATAATATATTATAAAAGAACTGCCTATTGTTTCTTTCCAAGGAGAACCAAGGCCCTAATCCTGGAGCTCAGGACATCCTGATGAGTCAGTTAATCCTCTTGATCCTGCCTCCAGCACTGGATTAGTGTATGGGCAAACTAGGCACATGCCCAAGGCCCTGAGCTACAGGGGGCTCTGGTCCCCCCCTCTGCCGTGGTGGTGCAATTGGCCCCATCCACCTCCCTTCCCTTCGCTTCGCTTCGCTTCCCTTCCTCTCCACTGGCCTCCCCACTGTGGCAGCTGTTTCCTAGTGGCTGCTCCAAACCCCGCTCCCTGTGGGCGGCAGTACTGGGGTGGGGACAGGGGTCTCGACCATCTCGAGACTCATGAGTTTGATTGCCTCGGGCTCACTAACCAGCTAATCCAGTCCTGTCTCCCTCATGGTATGAGGTCAGCCATGAGTGGAGTGAGATGGGCTGCCCCATCCTCCTCTGGGGTAAGTGTCAACTGTTCTTGCAAGGGGAAGGGACCCTGGCTCAGGGAGCTGTAGCTGACCCTCAGTGGGCAATAAGGACAAGTTGTTTTACCAGGATCATGATGTAAATCAGGAGGGTTGGGATGTGGCATAAGAGCTCAAGGTGCTTTGAGAACCACAAATGAAGGGTGTGAAGTCAAAAGCCAGTTATTTCTTATCAAGTCAAAAATTATTTATCAATGAAAGGTGAGCCTTTACCCTATGCCGGTGGGACAGCGTTCCTGAGGACCAGGCTCTCCTCCTGATTTCTCCTGGCTTCACTTTTTTTAATTCAAGCAACATCACTAACCAAGGCCCTCAGGGCTAGGGCAGTGCCTGAGAAGGACCAAAGAATCCACCCATAATTTATCACCAGACACTTATCTTGTTCCTGCACTGAGCACCGCGATCTCCAAATCAATGCCAAGTGATATTCTTTCCTGTCTCTTGTCCCCAGAAGGGTCTGGGGGTATAAATAGCCATGCTGAGCCCTTCAGCAAAGCAACATAACAGCCAATGCCTGTGCTAAGATGTGGTCTTGAAGAAGTCACTCAAATGGGCTGATCTCACACTTAAACCCTACCACGCAGTAATCAGTAGCGAAGGACTCCGAGCCCTTTACACATCCCGACTGTGCCAGGAGGAACTAAATAAGGAGAATGCCATTTTTCAAGGAGAATACCAGTCCCTGCTCCCTTCTCGCAGCTGTTGCTGTGGCCCGAGCTGTGACAGCAGCCCAGCTGGTACCAACACCTGCCCTGCCCCTCACCAGGAAAGATGTGGACTGAGGATTTCTACACACTGGAGCCTGTAGCAAGGTACAAATCCAGAGGCTCCCTAAGGCATTACAATACAAGTAGAGAACTGAATGATTTTTCTGGAATATGGGAAGCAGACCCCGAGACGCTGTCCTGAACCCTGGTTTCACTACTGAGTAGGCCCTGGAAGTTATTGTGGATGCTGGCACAGCTGCCATAGGAAGGAGGGTTGGGGCTTTGCCAAGCTCAGAGGAGTCCTTGGGATTCCCAGCATCTCTGGGAAAAAAGCAGACAGGTTCCTTGTTTTGTGGGGTGTGGTGACATGATGATTCCTGCCCCTGGTCTGTTGTCTTCCTTGGCTCATTGAGAGCATCCCCGGGGCTGGGTCAAGAGCACAGACCCAGGCTGCAGGAAGGGACACAGTTTGCCTGTGCAATATGGACTGAGCATAAAATGATGCAAATATCACATTTCTACTACCTCTCTTGGCATTACCTCTATTGTTTCTATCACACCTCTTGTACGTGGTCTGTATAGAGAAGTCACTCTGAGGGAGCACAGACACAACTGATATTCCACAACTAGCAGGAAATATTTCTGAGCTAACTGAAAACTACCTCCCCTCAATATTTCCCTTCTGTGACTTGAGAGGAGCCCTCACTGAGAAAACCATGTGCCCATTCCCTCTGAGACTGCAACGTTTATGTTGTACTTCCCCATCGGACTGTATCACTGTGATGTGAGCTGCTGGCAGTAACCCACACCTCACAGTAATAAACCGCCTCGTCCTGGGCTTGGACGCCAGTGATGGTCAACGTGGCCATGTTCCCAGAGCTGGCACCAGAGAATCGGTCAGGGATGCCGGAGGGTCTGCTCCTACTATTGTACATCACAAGTACAGGGGAGCTGCTGACTTTATGCTGATACCAATACACATTCTTGCTAGCAACATTGTCCCCGGAGCAGGTGAGCTGAGCGGTTTGTCCTGGAGACACAGACACTGAAGGCGGCTGAGTCAGCACGTACTGGGCAAGGGAACCTGGAATAAGAAGGAAAACAGACAGGTAAATGCTGAACTTATCTCCAGCCTGAAACAGCCTGGGATACCCATGGGAACGCATGAGATTAGGGTCTGTACATGAAAAAATCTTTGTAGGCCAATAGCCTCAGGGAAAACCTAACCCTCCACAGCACCTGAGCAGTGTGTGAGCAGCACAAGGAGGAGCGGGGCCCAGGCCATCCTGGGAATGCAAACCAGCTCTGCGTCCTCAGACAAACAGGTCTCTGGTTGGGACCCTGCGATTCTCAAGCACCTGTGGGTCTAAAAGGACCCTTCCATGCAAATCTGCCCCTGGTTATTGGCTGCAGCTGGCAGCCTGTCTCTGCATGTGGGTTGGGGAGGCCCAGCCGGGGGACTCTATGCTGTACTCTCCAAGTTCACAAGTATGAGCATTGCTTCTTCTTTTTTTTAATTTCATGCATCTAAAGCCAGCCCAGAGATGAGGCTCCCTCCATTTAGCCCATACATATGGCACACAGTGACAAGGCTCTTGCTACCAAACAGGTCACAAATACAGACTATGTCTCCCTTGAAAGCTGCTTTAACCGCACACCTTCTCTGCAAATTTAGCCCACACCCTCTCACCCAGGGACGTCTCTCACCAGAGCTCTGCCAACTGGGGAGTGCCAACACTGTGCAGGCACAGAGTTACTGCGAGGGATGGGAGCTCCATGCGTTCAGTCACAGCACAGCATGGGAGGATTTGTCTGTCCTTCTTTGGTTTAGGGATAGAAATGTTGCCGGCCCCACTACTCATTCAACTGCACAGCATTTAGCTCATCACTGACACAGAAAGTCATGATTCAAGGACTTGGGGAACAAGAGTGGAGGGAAGGGGCTGATTCCTAAGCTTTGGGAGTGTTTCCATTCAGGTCCATGCATGAGAGCAGTTCAGATGCAAGAATGAGAGAGAAATGATGTGGGATCTAAGGAAAGTATCTTTGGTCAATCAAAGTGGGGAGACGGGGCTAGGGCTTCTTGAGAGGACTAGCTTTTTGGCCTAGCAACCAAGGCTCCTGCCTCAGACAAGACACCCCCAGCCTCGGCCACAGCACTCAGCAGTTTATCACTGGTACTGACAGGCACCTCCTGCACCACCAGCTGGGACTGGTCCCCAGGGTGACTGGGCAGTGCCACTGGGCCACATGTGCTGTGCTACTGGTGACCTCCCCCGGAGAGATGGAGGAGGAGAAGTGGGTGCACAGTGCAGGGGGCTGAAATTCCTAGTAAGCAACAGATGTTCACTTATTTATCCCGGGCAGGAGCCAAGCTGTGCAGGCAGCTCAGAGGCCAGGCTCAGGACAGGCAGGGAGGAGTGTTTTTTTTCCTCCCTTCCCCAGCTGGCTGCATCATTACGGGACATCTCATCACCGATAAATCACACAGCACAGTAGTAGTCTTCCTCCTCCTTGGCTGGGACCCCAGTGATGGTTAAAGCCATGTCCTGACCAGATATGAAGCCCATGAACTGGGTGGGGGTCCTGGAGGGCCTGCTGTCAGAGGTGTATGTAAGCTGCTGGCAGGGAGATCCAGGTACCAGGATAGTAGCTGGTGGGGATGCTGCGGTGCTCTGGCTGCAGGACAGAGTGACAGTCCCACTGCGGACTCGTGGGTCACCGCAGGGAAGATATATTCATCAACATGGTGACTCAGGATAATACTTCTCACCTACAATTTTCCCAACAATTTAGTCACAAAATCTCAGGTCTATGCGAGTTGAACAAGGACGAGAAGGACCCAGGCCACGATGGGAAATCCAGACCATCTTGGCTTTCCAAGGCAAACTGGTCTCTTAAACGCCCAGAGCTGCGAACATCCCTTTCACGTGAATGCCCCTTCCTCACTGGCTGCGGTCTTCTGAAAAAAGTAACAGGTGAGCACCCGTGAGAGAGGCTCTCCCCCTCCTTTGGTGTCACTCCTTCTGGTCCAGACAGGGCACGTGCTGCCATTTCTTCAGGGAAATTGGCTTTTGCTCCCTCAGACAGGATCTCCATTTCTGTTCTTTTCCTCTCAGGTCCAGCCCCTATGAAAGGGAAGAGACCCATTTGCCTTCCACAGGGAGAAATGAAGCCTTTGAAAAACCTGCCTCCTCCAGCATATCAAACCGTTGGACCAATTTGGCTTGGCAAGGAGGGGCTGCCTCTGCTCATTTATATGAAGACATTCACATTTAATAGGAAACTTTGGCCATGTCTGAGGTACCGTGCGCCTGCACCAGCTTCTACTGCCCCACCCCCCATCCCTGCCACCTTCTTCGACCGCCAGACATGTACGTGTGAGCGATTTTTTATATCCACAACAGGACACTTTGCCCTCATCAAACTAAAATACACCCGGATTGGTCTAAGTTGCCACGCTCAAATACATTTTAACACAAAAAAATCATGCACATGTACACCGTGACACCATTATGTTAGACGAAGGATGATTTCTCATCATTTTTGGTCACGTGTACATGGTGCCAGCATCCTGTGTACAAGCATCCACACTGCCCATCCCACGCCTTCTAAGTCATAACTTTGGGTTTAAAAGAAAAAAAAAAAATCAAGATTTTAAAAACATATAACAACCATTTCATTTGTGTCGTGAGCCTTTAGGAGAGACAGCTTAAATATGGGGTAATGGAGACTACTGTTTAATGTAAATTAAGATTATTGGGAAACAGGATTGCAGCAGCTGGGGCTTAAGAGGAAACACCAGCTACCCAGCAACGTCCAATAAAATCCCAGGACTTTGCCAAGCTATTTTACTCTGCAGCTTCCTATGTTTAAAGACAGATTCATCACAAGCCTCCTCTCTACACAGTGCAGTTGGGTGTTTATAACTCAGGCTACACGGTGATGTGTCTTTAATGTGCACTTTCTCAGAAAAAGTTTTACATTTGGTGATGTCTTGGATTTGGCAGTTCCCTGTATCTCTGACCCCTGACCGATTCCTAAAGATTTCAATTGTACTACTAAGATGAAGTCCTGATAATAGAGCACCCTCCAGTTCCCAGCACCCCCACATCTCCCCCCAACATATCTGCAGCACCTGCTTTTTTCAAGTTAAGGGTTTCCATTGCTCAGAATTTCTCTCTTTCCTCAAGTAAACTCTTTGGGCTTTTCAGATTCCCTCCTGATTTACTCCGCTTTGACTGAGAGGAGAATGCAGGTCCTGGTCTTTATTCAATATTCATTCCTCATTTCCAAATGCAGGCAAGATGTACTGTCTCTCCCTGCTCTGAAGTCTAAGCCCAGCTCTAGGGCACCAGATCTGAAAATCTTGCTTTCCCTTTCCATTCTCCACCCTCACGTGTGGGTTGTGCTATACGCAGTGGATGGATGTCAGCAAGTGTCTGTGACGCTCAGCCTCGTAGAGAGTGTCCTCCTTGTAATGGAGGTCTCCTTGGGAGCCTGAACTCTCCTCTCTCTGAACAGGATTGTTCTTCAGTGAATTGACTGGAATCTGTGCCCTAACAGACTTGTCTGGTGCCTGAATCTCCACTTTCATTTCATTTCAGGAATTTGTTGATATTTACCATGAACCGGCTGATTTGATGCACACATTTAAGAAGAAGATTTCGAAACGATCTCTTCCAAATCATCATATCACCCAGTTACCACACCAAATCGGAAACAGGGGGGTTCTAGCCTAATAGGAGTATATAGAACACCTTTCACGGGCGTTTAATTGGAACCAAAAGTGGCCCCAAATGCCCAAGGGCTGACAAAGCCTAGAAACAACCAGAACTAGAGACTGGGAGACGGAGCAAGAGAGCCACGATGTGTCACCCTGGGGGTCACGGTGCACAGGCACAGACTGAACTCGTGCAGAGCACATGCAGAGGGAGGGCAGAGGAAGTTTTTGTTCAGGATCTGCATCAAAAGCTGTCACTGTGCTATACATTACTACTGTAGGCAGCACAGTAATAATCAGCCTCATCCTCTGCCTGGACACTGGTGATGGTTAAGTAGCCAATTTTATTAGAGGTGTCTTTGGAACCAGAGAAGCGACTCGGGACCCCGGAGCCCTGGTGCTTGCTAGAGTCTGTATTGTACCACAGAAGGTATCTTGGGCTGTTCCCGCCTTTCTGCTGCAACCAGTAGACAGCTCCATGTGTGTATCCACTGCTGATGGTGCAGGAGAGCTTCACCGTGTTTCTTAGTGACACAGACTCTGAGGAAGGCTGAGTCAGCGTGTACTGGGAGAGGGACCCTTGTGAAAAAAGAAAATAAAGTCTGAGTTAATTTCACTGCTCGGAGGTGATAAGAGCAGAGCTCTGCAATATCAAGCACAGCCACCCAATCTATGACAAATGCACTTATTAAACCTCACAAGGGGATCTCTTTCTTTACCTGGGCAATAAGTAAGCAGGAAGAAGAGGAGAGCAGTCCAGGCCATGGTGAAAATCCAAACCAGCTCTGCTTCCTAAGGCAAGCGGGTCAACTGGGACCCTCTCATAAACCCCCAGGGTTGAAAACACCTCCTCCATGCAAATCTGCCCCCTCCCTGCTCACCAGAGACTTTTGCATGGACTGGCAGACACTGACTGCTGGGCCCCTGACAAAACCGTCCACCCTCTCATGCTCGTTTAGGGTAGTAGTTACCAGTTGACTTTTTCCCTTTGCTTTTCTTCTTCTGTTGAATTCCTTTTTTTTTTTTTTAAACCTTCTGCCCTCAAAATAGCACTGCTAATGTTTGTAATCAAGTCCCTACCCCAGACCTGGCTTGTGCCTGTCCTAACTCCTATCAATATCTATAGCAAGCAACTAAATTCTTCTATATTGTCACATATATGTATATCCTGTTTCCCTCTGAGCATTAACATCCTGTTGGATACTAAGATTATCCACACAGAAAAAAGATGGCAGGACTCTAGCGGGGACCCTTCAGTTCTCTCTCAAAGCCCCACACCTGAAAACAGCCCTTTCTTTCAAATCTGTTGCTTGCCTGGTGCTGCCAGCAAATCCTAGTCCATTCCGAGGTCCCCGGGGTCACTGCAGTCCACTAGTTATTAAAACCACCTTTCCGGGGTTGCAGACTTCTCCCTTTTCCCTGTGAACTTTCTTTCTTTAAATTAAAAAAAGCAGTGCATTAGCAGTCACTTCTGCTACTAAGCACAAGCCCTGATAAGAGAGTGCCCTCCAGTGCCTTCCAGCAGGA